CCCCTCTCTCTCGCGCTCTCTCAAAAAACCAGTCTCTTTATGCTCAAAAAACTGGATCGAAACCCCAAAAAAACAAACTCCTCCTCTACACCCAATTTGTGGAAAACTGGCCATGGCCTCTAATGTACAAGGCTGGACATGACCCGACATGTTCTATGGCTATCATAACCAACTTTTTGACGCCTCAATGTTTTTCTCCTTCAGTAAGGAGCCCCCCTCCCTGTGAACTGCTGTCACAGGAGAGGGAAAAAACGGCCTACTCTCTTATCAGAGACACCCATAAATCATAGACCTTACACACTCAACCTAAACAAACCACTTTGTTTTGTTTATGCTGTAAATATAGAAAAACCTAAAATATGAAGCATTCTCATTATGGGTTCATACAAGAATATAATTGATCATATATGATTTATAATTAACTTTTGTTTTAAGTATTCACTTCGTATATGATTTATAATTAACTTTCGTTTTAAGTATTCACTTCATATGAAGCTCTCAATAGTTCCCAGAATCTTCTCGCGAGCACACAAGAATTCTGAGTGACAGGATACTCTGTAGGTCATCCGGGACTCATAGAACCGTAGTTACAGACGTAACTATCATTCTATTTCGTCCCTACTGACCGCCAGAGTCGGTGCTTTAAGCACTGGATGACTTATACCAACAATGTCATGAAGAATCCAAACCCTTGCTCACTACTGGAAGTAGCAAAAGGACCACGCCCAAAGGATGGGGAGTGGCGACATTAACCCGATTAAAACGTGGAGAATGTGCCAGAAGACGCCCACGACGCCGCGGCGCAGATTGTCTCCAGGGGCACCCCTCTCAAATCAGCCCAAGATGTTGAGATGCTCCCTGATGGCAGGGGGGCGGCCACTGGCCCCATAGGCATATGAGATAGTATCGACGACCCAGTGGGGTAGCCGCTGTTTCGAGAGCACAACCTCTTCTAGTGCCGCTATGGCAAACGAAGAGCTGCTCCGACTGCCATATACAGGCAGTAGCATCAATATACGCCCTTAGGGCACCCACAGGGCACGGCAACCCGGACATGCCGTTCTCCTGAATGTCAAAGGGGGCCAGGTGGACAGGCTGATTGAAGTGGGTTTGTGGAAGCACCTTGGGCAGGAACACCACCTTTGCCCAAAGGGCAACCCCTGAGCCATCGGAGTCCCACCTCAGGCATGTATCGCTCATGGAGAGGGCATGCAACTCCCCAACTCGCTTTCCTGAGGTTATGGCAAGCAGGAATTCTGCCTTCGTGGGCAGCCACTTAAGCCCCACCTGGGCCAGGGGCTCGAAGGGAGGGGATGATAGGGCATTGAGCAGCAGGGGCAGGTCCAAAGCCGGAGCCCTCAGGGTGCTAGGGGGACGCTGCCGTAAAGCCCCTCTCAGGAAGAGGGACACCGACCTGTGGCACCCCACCGTGGCGCCGTCGACCCGAACATGTCGGGAAGAAATAGCAGCCACATAAACTCTCAAAGGTGGAGTGAGAACGTCCACTATCTAGAAGGGACTGCAGTCTGGGCAACAGTGGACATGTTGACCGAAGGAACAAGCCCATGCTTGCCCCCCAGTTGGGGTAAAAAGTGCGTGAGTGCAAGCTGCACAGCCCGAAGCTCTAGCACCTTGACATGGCGTGCACCCTCCTGGGCAGACCACTGACCCTGGACAGTCCTGCCCTGCCACACTGCACCCCAACCTGAGAGACCTGCATCTGCAGTGACAGTCTCCCGGCGGGATGGGATGGTGCCCCTGGGCACGCCCATTAAAAGATAGGCCCTGTCCCTCCAGCGGGACCGAGAGTGGAGGCACCGCTGAGACACCCTGACTCTTCTGTGCCTGTGCCACTTGGCGTCCAAGTGAAGGCTTTTCAGCCACATTTGCATGGGGCACAGTGACGGCAGGCCTAAGGGCACAACGGCTGAGCCAGCCGTCAGTCTGCACAAGAGCCGGAGAAATTAAATGTAAGGCACCATCTTGCCCAGCCTGGCAAGCTGCTGTAAGCTGGTGGCTGAGTGCGGCTGCTAGAGGGGCCCCTGGGCCTTCTGGGAGTGGGCACAGGCCTCTGAAGACCCGAGATCTGCTGCCTGGTCTGCCTAGCTTGGGCAGCACGCTCCAGTGCCTCCGGGGCAGCTGCCCCAAACAGCTCCCCTGGCTTGACTGGCACACTACGGAGGACATGTCTCCGACAGTGGTGGCTGAGCAAGCCAAACCTGGCGTAGAGTCTGCACCAATAAGGACATAACTCCCAATTCCCTAGACATTAGGGCAAAGGCTCGCAGTGATGCATCACTGAGGCCCAGCAAAGAAGGCTCAGCCGGAGCCTGCTGCAGAGAGGTAGAGACAGCCAGCATCAGATGGGAGAGGGAGTTCCCGATACGACCCATGCGTGCCGCTGCGTCGTAGGCCTTACAGAGCGGTTCGTCTGTGACCCCGCACTGCGGCCGAGGGCACCTGGCATTAGGCCTTGGAGCCTCATCAGGAACCAGAATCAGGGAGGCGATGGCAGGGTCAATGGATGGCATGCAACCCAGCCCCACCCTCGCCGGATCCTGCATGGCAGCAGAGGGCCCTGGTGTCTCTCCAGCATGCATGGAGCTCCCTCAGGTACCCCTCTGAAGGAGGAACAGTGAGAGTGACCGGGGCAGGGCTAGCCTGCGCCGAGTCGGCCTGCGGAACCTGAAGCTGCAAGCGTGCCAGGGCCGCACGAATAATGGCCGCCATGGAGGAGTCCTCCATGCCCTGCAGAGAGCTCTGAACAGAGGAGTGGGAAGCCTCCTCGGGAGTGAGCGGGGCCTCGTCCTCCACCTCTTAATTGAAGAGGTTTAGCCGAAGCCGCTAGCGACATGGCATCCTCAAGCACTACTTGCGCTCAAACCCCGGATGTATTCTGAAAAGCCCCGAATGTTTCACTTGAAGCAATTGTTCACGTCTCGTGAGTAATGTGCAGTACCGGAGTCTAGCAGAGAGGCAGAAGCTGCGGGACAGTAGCATGCATACTGCAGAGCCTTCCCTGCCCTGAAGAAGAAGTGATCCTTCGTTAGCGTGAAGACTCTGCTTTATGCAGCCCCCAAATTCTGGGCTAAGCCCCGGATCTCCTACGATCCTAAATCCGCCACTGCAGAGCACACCGCACATATAGTGAAGATTGTTCTCTGCATTTAACCCATCCTAGTGCTAGGAGCAGTAAATAACATTGATATAGTTAGGCTGAGCCACGCTACTGCTAACTCAATTAAACGAGAAACGCAGCTAAAGCTGGAAACTCAAAATGCTAATGATAGCTCGGGCACAACGCTGCCACAATCAGCTATGCAAAAAAGTACACAATAGCACACTAAGGGCAACTTTATGGGAGAGGAAGCGGGAACACTGTCGTCACCAGAAAGTCTAAGCCAAACGATAAAGACAGCAATCAGGACAACTTAGCTGGGAGAGGGTGCTGGGACACAGCAATCACCAACAAAGTTGACACAAACCTGTCCGTCGAAGCTCTGCGCAGCCGGCCACAGCTCCTGGAGGACGAGTCAACAACCCGCGGCTCCGACTGGATCAGTCGTGAAGCTGCACGCGGCCAGCTGTATGCAGAGAAATCCCTCAGATCAAACGTTCAAACCGAACGCTGTAGGCTACAAGAATGTAGCCACGGTGCTCTCGCGCAGCGAGAAGAAAAAAGGAGCAGATCCTCTGACGACACCTGCAGATATAGCCGGTGTCACGTGGGTCACAGGTGACTTTGTTGGTATTGGTACTCGACCTGCGCATGCGCGCGATGGACATTCTGTTTTCTTCAAGTTTGTATTTTGTTGGTCGAACGCACTTATTGTAAGTCGCTTTGGATAAAAGCGTCAGCTAAATGCAATGTAATGTAATGCAATGTAATATCCAGTGCTTAAAGCACCACCTCTGGCGGTCAGTAGGGATGAAATAGAACTCCCATTGATTTGGCTCAAGTTGTCTTGTCTAGTATAATATATATATGTAGAAGAGGAAAACAGATTTAAAAATCCATTAATTTAAACAAATCATATAAATGTATGATCGTTAGCATGGAAGATTTATTTGGGCACAAGTTAGAAGTTGTTCTATTGTACAGCGCTGCCTGATGGGTAATTAAAGGCAATAGGATACGTTCACAAATGTGGGAGAAATGGGCCAAATTGTAGCATATCAGTAATGAGAACATTATACGTTATAAGTTATTTGCTGAGATCTGGGGTATTTTCACAAAAATGATGTCAAGATGAGAAAATGTTTTCACATCTTTCACTGTTATTTCCACATCAAGTAGTTTTGATTATCTGGCAAAACTTTTGGCTTTTTTGTCTTATCGTCTGACATCTTGTGTTTCTTCCCAGTCTGTCTTTCTAGAGATGTCATTGTGTTCCCAGATCTTTACAATTGTTTTCAGTACAATGTTATCATAACCAAAATAAGTGACGAATACTCATTTGACATAAGGAGTTGTAACAAACTGACAATTTGATTTAGGCCCGATGTCATTTAACTCTTTGGGCAAAGAAACCACCATGTCATTCTCAAAGCTGATAAGCAGGATAATTGTGGGTTTTTTAGACCATTTTTACTTTTACAGGACTAGTTCTACCCGTTGATGGAGCAATGAAGACCCTTTTTGCTGAACGCTTCAGAAAAATCCACTTAGCCACTGTTCCCACTCCATGGTTTCAGCCTTTGACAATGACCCTTCAGATCAAGTGTTTATAGCTCAAGGTTTACAAAGCTGGTTTCGAGTCTTCGCTCTGCTTTAATTTTCTTTTGTCTTTATTCCGTTTTTGCTCGAAATGTACAATGGTATTGTGCTGTATCTGAGTATTCTCCAGGGTCTTTCTTTCTTTCAACATGCGCCAACATGGGCTTTTTGTACTTTTTAACCAATTTATTCTCTCTTTTTCACAAACTTAAAGGCAGTAGCCAAGGGTCTCTACTTTCATCCAGTAAATTTCTGTCATCTTTTTCCTCCGTCTCTTTTAAAGGGAACAGCAGCCATGGACTGAGGAAAAACGGCCTGGGTTTAGATTAATATCACAACTCAACAGGTGACCCTTGACGCCCTCCCCCCCCCCCATCCCTTCCTTTCTCTCTCTCACTGTTTCCTTTTTTCCCTCAGTCTATCTTCACGGCTTTATCCCTTGCTCACACAGACGCCAACAATTCTGTTCTTTGTCTTTTTGCAATCTCTCTTGGTTACATCGCGCCCTGGTTTCAATCCTTTTTAAATCTCTGTCTGATTTGTAACATCTCAGTAATCCCATCCTTTCTTCCTTTAAAGCACTGAAAAAAGAAGGCAGCACATCTCAGCTAAAAACTGTTATGGTTTGTTTATTAATCATCTTCTCTCCTTTAGTCTTCGACAGTTTCTGAAATGAGCTAACCTCTTACTAACCCAGCTTTAGGACTCATGGCTCCTTCCGGCTCTAACATCAAGGCTTCTAATTCACATGTGCTTATTTTCACATCTTTCTGTGTTTTTGAAACTTATCTCGAGAAAATGACAACATTTTAAATGTATGATTTTAAGGGACAGTATGTAGGATGTGGCACCATCTAGCATTGCAATTGAAGATTGCAACCAACTGAATACCCCTCCAATGAGCCTTTACAATACTGCGATAACCAACCACCGGGTGGGTTTATATGCTTTTGTAACCACCACACTACTTTAGGCAAAACAAAATTCAAGTACCGTCTAGCATTCCCAAAGAACTACAGTGAGCTTCAAGTAAAGTAAAAAATGTAAAGGCCTTATCTGAAGCCAGACTCTGGTTTGTCCATTCTGGGCTACTGTAGAAACATGGAACTCTGTAAAGAAGAGTTCCCTCTCTATGTAAATATAACAGGCTGGTTCTTAGCTAATCAAAACACTTTCTAATACATTGAATGTATTAGATGTACTTCCAAAAACATTGTCATGGATATTATATTCTTATTTTGCTAATAGATCTTCCTGAATTCTACACACTGGCCCTTTAAGAGAAAGGAAACAAATCTTCTAATTGACGATTCATTCAATGTCTAAATTCAATACTTTGCTTGACTTTTTTTTCCACACCAACTATGTTTAAACATGTTATTTTAGGTAAAACAAGTAAGTTATAATGACTTTGCTTTCACAACTTGCTTTAAGACTGCAAATAAAAACAACATCGTAATACATTAGTGTTTCATAAAGATGACCACTTTAGTCTACAAAAACTCATCACTTAATTAATATGTGCATACTGTAAAATATAAAATAGGAATGCAGTTGCTTCATAGGTTTAGATAGTGACCTTGTTGGGACTTTGCTTTATAATGTAAAACATGGCAAATGTATTCCATTATAAGAATATTTCCATCATTGGAATATGAGTTTCCATCCATATTTTGAATAACTTGACACAAATCACCTATTGATGTGGCTTAATGACATCAGACACCTTTTAGTTTCCTGAGACAACCAACATCTTTTTATTTATTTCTTTAAATACTGTATTTTTTTAATCTTTAATCTTTGTTTTTTTCTTTTTATCTATGCTGTCTTCCATAATTGACGGAATAAAACCAAACTGGGCAGCTCTAAAAGCATCAAATTAGGATGGATCAATCTTAAGTGTGATTACAACAATTTGCCCCCTAGAAGAAACATAGGAATGACTCATGAAAGGAGCCATCGGGGCTTAATTGAGAGCGCTAGAGAAAGCTCACAGCTGGAGTGCAAAGACGCTGGGATTTGTGTGGGTAGACCCATGCATGTCTGTGCACAAGTGATAAGTGAACTTGCTCATATCAGACGTAAAAAGCCCTGATTTCAATTTATCTTTTATAGCTGCCAATTCATATTTCAGAAAAAAGGTATTCACAGGACATATAACTTGTCATTATGGAAACCGTTGGTGTCAAATCCCAAGGGAAAGCAGTGTGAAAATGATCTTACTGAAAGATAGTTGACATACAGTGTATGTTAAGTTATTTCAATGTTGTCAGTTTACTGTAGGGTTGCAACCAAGATGTTTTTCATCAAAAATCCATAATCTGTTATTTATCTTCACTATTAAAGGTGGGGTAGGTAAGTTTCAGAAACCGGCTCGAGATACACTTTTTGTTATATTCCATGGAATGCTCTTAACATCTCGATAGCAATGAATATCTGAATATGCTTTGACAAAAAATCCATTAAAAAATGTCATCTCTGGAAGCCGTAGTACTGTAAAAAGTACAACCAATCCGTTTAGCCGGGCCGGCTAAACGGATTGGATTGCCGCCCTGTCTGTCAGCCTTCCATCTCGTGCACGCACAAATGTATCTCGTGCCCTCATTGGGCGTGCCATCATTGGGCGTGCATTGCGCGTTCATGTGTGTTGGAGGAGGTGCTCTGTAAGGAAGTCTGAAGGAAGGGGCGGATTCTTTTCGGCTGTGTATTTTCCAATTTTAGTGCACTCGAGCCGGTTTCTGAAACTTACCTACCCCACCTTTAAGATGAAAATTGAAATAAAAAACTGTTCATCCCAGCTTCTCAGTTAAAGTCAAAGGTGATGTCTTTAATTGTCTTTCATTTCAAAACCCAAATAAATGTAAGTTAATATTTTATACAATGAGAAAAGCAGGGATATCCATATTTCTGCGTTACCTAAACAATACATTTATCGATTATCAAAATAGTTTTAGACTTATCGTCTGGCAGCATTAGTTTGTTCTATACCCTGAATTGATATAATTAGGCATTACAAACCTTTGATCATTATTTTATCACTGAGCCAAACTTGTTTTCATCTCAGACAGATAAACATTTAGTGCGGCGCTGTGATGATGTTTATGAGTAAGGTCAGTGGGAGATTGCAAATGAATGCAGCGTGTGTGGAGGCAGAGCAGGAAGCAGAGTGACTCACTAACTCCGCCGCCCTGAGGAATCATCTGCCTCTGTCCAAGGTGCTGGAACACTTTGCATAATTGTCCTTCTTTTTCCTCCTCCTCTTCATCCTACACAGAACCAACTCAGATTCGGCTCTCCATACAAGCGCTATGAACCCAAACCCTCAGGACCCCTTTGGCATGAACCAGCAGATGGGTCGAGGTCCCTCCCTGCGCAATGGTGAGAGAAAACACACGCACACACTTTAAAGTCCCTTAATAGACCTTTCAAATTGATTCTATATATTCTCTTCAAAATAGTCTCCACTGGAGAAATAGAATAACTCTGACCCCTTCCATCAGGATTTTTGTTTGTTTATTGTTACTTAACTTGAATGTTTTGGTTAGGACTCGTTTAACATAACCCCCTCCCTGCCTGAAAACCTCCATTGGACTCTTTGTTTACTTCCATAACCTAGTGACATCACTATGTAAGACTCACGCTTCTATTGGCTAGCGCTAAGGGGGGGTGGGGCATCTCTAAGCTGTTGACGAGATCACAACAGAGCAGGCCAGCTAACCAATCAGAGCAGGCTGGGCTCTGGTTTCAGACAGAGGGTGAAAAGAGGTGCTGCAGCACAGGCTGTATGAGCAAAATAAAGAGCTTTTTGAACATTGAAGCATGTAGACACGTCACAGGAGAGACAAAATATAAATATTAACCTAAAACTGAGCATAATATCTCCTTTTAAAAGTCATTTGTTGTTATGGCTTCCCTTCTAACAAAGCTGCTAGTTTCCCTCGCTTAAAATCAATTATAACAAGGCTATGCAGTCTCTTTTAAAAATCTTAAAAACAGCCCGGAGAGTGTAATTAACATCCACTTATGTATTGAGACGTCACCACAAACACTCATTCAGTGCATTCTACTCTGCAGGAGAAAAGCAGAGCTCTATGTCATCGCAGTACAGAGGCAACATGTTTTTCTAGCAGACAGCCTCTCAGTCTCATGCAGTATGCAGGCTGCTCCTATACTGGGCTCATGTCATAGTAATCATGCTAGTTTATGATGTTTGCGTTTCTGTTCTGCTGGTCATTTATTAACAGAGAGCACAGTCCATGCAGCCAGCATGAGTCCTGTAAGCCAATCTGGGCTCATTTACTCAAATCACAATCTGCCGGCTTAAAATGTTCAGTTTATACTCTTGGATTGTAATTGGTCCAAAGAAAGGGATCTAACTCTAAGTCAAATAATTCCTCCATGCCTCTCTGCCTTCCTCCCGAGCTGTTTCCATCCCAGCGTCGATGTGTTTTTGGCACTTTGTCTGATCTGAGCGCTGATGAGGTGTGGAGTGGATGAGAGGAGGGCTCCTGCAGCACAGCACTTTTCTCTGTGTTTAGCCAACAGGTTTAAACAGGATATTGCCTTAAGATCAGGGCCAAGAATGAGTTTCACATACAAACCCCGTGTGGATATTGCAAATTACAACACGCGGTCTGTTGTGCTTTAAATGGCTCACACCCAGTTGGAAATAGTGTGTGTGTGTGTGTGTATTCATGTTTAGGATTGCTCTGTTTGTGACCCATGTATCATAATACTCTTGGGTAAACCGGAACACACAGTTATTTTGATTATTGGGTTATCAACAGATTATTTTCTTTATCGCCATCATCATCCAGCCAGGAGATATTTAGTTTACTTTCACAGAACACTAAGAAAACTGTTAGAGGCCCCATTATACAATATTATTTTGATTTTAAACATGTTGCAATATATTGCAATTATGTTTTGGAGTATATTGTATTGGTACACAAACATGACATTTTTGGTAGCAATACATTTGTATTATAAATGTTATAGTAGTTAGTAATAAGTTAGATAAAGTTTGCTAAATTCTCTAATGTCTTTCTACAATGCCTAATTTTTTTTATTGTCCGACTTACTGCATATATTACACATTAGTTTCAGAAAAGAGGTGCTGCAGCACAGGCAGTATGAGAGAAATAAAGACCTTTTTGAAAATTAAACCATGGAGACATTTCACAGCAGAGGCACTAAATACACACATGAACCTGAAAATGAGCAGAATATGTTCTCTTTAATATCAAAGTAGTTTCCAATACATTATTTGCTGATTGACTAATACATTAACAATGGAGTTTTTGTTTCAGTTCTCCTCTTGTGCAGAGCCATTATAGTTAAAGTGTGGATGATTATGTTTCCTGACAGGAGAACTGAGCTGCCTGTGGAGGATCACGTTGTATACAGCTCAATCTTTCTGCAGCCTTCTGTATATAGTCCAGCAGCACATACTACACATAGCTATACGGGCTGTATATCCTCAGCTCCAAAAGAGGCCGTGACACCACACTGGCTCATGTTGGGGAACGAGCAGTGCCGCCTGCTCGCCTTACTCGCATGAGTGCAGAGAGCCGTGTACCCGGGGCCTCGTTGACACCTCTAAAGGTTTCGGCGGGTTTCGAGTGGTGTTAAACCCCGGCTGATTAAAAAAGCATCTAACTAGGAATTACAGCTATGAGTCACACTGTCGGAGTAGACACACTCAGAGCAGAAGATACAGGGAGGCGTGTGGCGCAGTGGTTAGTGCGTTGGTGTTCGGATCAGGGGGTCACAGGTTCAAACCCCACTGCAGTCAGCATGTCGTTGTGTCCCTGGGCAAGACACTTCTCCCCAAATGGCTCCTGTGGGGATTGCCCATGTAAGTCGCTTTGGATAAAGCGTCTAACAAGTGACATGTAATGTAATGTAAATCAGACTTTTCGTTGGGTTTTCTGCAAATTGGAAAGTCGTTTTCCGTCCCAGTTGTCCCGTTTCCGTTCCAGTTGCGCCTCGGCGAGCTTTGCAGAGAAAACACCTTTTTGAGGGGGGAGATGAAACGATGCCAGACTATTTGTATCGCCTCATTGTCCCATCTGCTCCATCAGCAGGAGAGCTGCCTCTGAAAATGAATGAGCCTCAGAGAGAATGAGAGCGTGGAACGAGGAGGAATGGCTGGGCAACGGTTCAAAAGCTCATGCAAGAGAATGAGCGATGACGAGTCTTAAATATCGAGAGAAACAACTAAATATTTCTCTAATAAGTAACAGAGTGCAGAGGAAGTGTTGTTGCTAAACACACGAGTTAGACACGAACAGAGACAAGTTAAAAGGAAGGAAAGACAAATGTTTCTGGGATCAGTTCTACAGTGAAAAGGAAGGAAAAAGAGGCTCTTTGTGGTACCATAAAAACAATGGCCCTCTCTTTATTTCTCATCAGTCTATAAACCCCCCACCCAGCGCCCCTCCTCCCTCTCCTCGTCTCTGTGACTGATAACATGATACCAGATGTCCAACTGTTGTGTTTATGAAGCCACACAGTAATTGCAGTGTGTATTCCAAAGGGCCCGAGCGACACATCATTGTGCCAGACATGCCGGGATAATTCAAACAGATGTTTAACTTTGAGATATCCTTTAATGTTCATGTGTTTTTGTTTCTAAGTCCTTTCTTTATTTCTCCATCGATCATCCCGCCCCCTCTCCTTTTTGTTGTTTGTTTGTTTGTCTCGTGAAGGCTGGAATGCAGCCAGTGTGATTGAGGCGGAGGTGGACAGCTCCGGAAACGGTGAGTTGAGCATTCCGTCGGTAATGAAGAGATGATTTACATACGTTTGTCTGTAGAATAAGTTTAATTTAAGTGTACTTTCTTCTTCTCTGCAGTCTTCTCCTTCCCCACGCTGAATAACGAGGAGAACCTAATAGGTGTCAGTAAGCCCCTTCCCAAGCAGCTGTGGGAGGCTAAGAAGGTGAGACTCACTCCACTCGCTACTTCCTCCATCTGATTGTGCTTTCTGTGCTCACAATGACTGGAATCAGACAGTTTATGTATTTTTAGATTAGGACTGGGTATTAACAATAATCTGGTTGTATTATAATACAGTGGTTACAATTACATTTTCATTTCATTTAATCGTTTGTTTGAATCGCACATTGATGAACACTTTAAAACAAAATAATGCTTACTGTAAGGGAAACTTCTGCAGCAACGGAGAGTCAGGACTCAGAAAGACACGAGGAGAGTTGGAGCTTTGATGTCAAACACTGGTAGTTTATTACAAGTCAAACGGCCGGAGAATTCATATCACAAGTCAGAGCAGCAAAAGGTTCTGACTGCACGGGTGGGTTGTCATGTCAATTCTGATCAGCCTCGCATCTTGGTAGACCCTTTAACTAGTTTACAGAGATTATTGGGGGAAGGTATACGTGAACACCTGGAGACACTGAATCACTTATCTGACTCTTTGGTTCTGTGACCAAGAGTTGACCGGTCATAAAACTGGTAATGTCAACAATAGGTGAGACTTCCCATTCCTTAAAACAGATAACAGACTTAGGGTTCGTCGTAAATGTCAACAGGCAGAAAGGTTAAATATCTTAGGAGTAAGGAAGAATTATTCTTTGACACTTAGGAGTAAGACAGAAATATTCTCTAACACCTACAAGTGTAAATGAGCCAGATTTTAGCTTTGAGCTAATTTCCATCCGTAGTCCCGTCACATACAACATAAGAACATGACATTTATTTACATAGCAAAAATAAATACATGACATGCAGAAAGAGCATGAGCAGCATTCAAGCATTTACCACATGGCAGTACAATGTAGCAGCTACGATATATAAAGTGCAAGATAAGATAAAAGTGCTACATAAAGTGCAAGAGGAGATACCTCTGTATTAAAGTGCATTTAGCGGTGATCGCACGTCTGTTTGTTTCTCAACCATTCTTTAAGTTGTCCTTTAAAACTATTGAGAGTGGGACAATCCCGTATCTCAGTTGGGAGGCTATTCCACAAAGAGCTGCCTTTAACGGAGAGGACATTTTGTCCGAAAGTGGTCCGTCTGCGGTGGACCTCACAGTCTCCTCTGGTTTCTGACCTAGTGCAGCGTCCAGTGTGTTTTCTGTGGATGAATTCCCCTAAGGGAGGGGGGGGGGGCAGTCCATGTAAACATTTATAAATAAAACACATACTTTTAAAAGACTTTAAATGGTCAAAACTCAAGAAATTGTGTTTATCCAGGATGGTACAGTGGTGGTATGAATTTGGCTTTCTGTCAAACACCTGGATAGCTCTCTTGTACAGCTGTTCTATGGGTTTCAGGTTTGTGGCACAAGCAAACGACCAGTTTGTAAAACAGTATTCAATGTGGGATAGAATCATATGGTGGAAATATGACTTTGCAGCATTGACAGTAAAGAAAGGATTTGTTTAACATTTTGCAAGTTGAATTTAATGGTATTGGATACTTTCTTAATGTGTTTCTAAAAAGTCAAGTTCGACTCCAGTATGACTCCAAGATACTTGGAGTGGGGGACTAGTTCTATTTCTGCTCCGTTTACAAACACGTTGGATCCTTCGATTTTGACTGGTCGTTTACTGAACATCATGCATACTGTTTTTTTTGCATTTTACTGTAAGCAAATGTTGTTCAGCAAGTGTTGAACCTTGTCCAAAGCATTTGAGAGACAGGATGAGATCATTTCAGTGTTCTTCCCGTGTACAACGATGACCGCATCATCGGCATGCATTTGCACATTCAACTCAGGACATACATTAGGCAAGTCATTAATGTACAGAGAAAACAGTAATGGTCCAAGAATGGAACCTTGTGGAACCCCAACAGGGGTCTTGCATTATGTCCGAGTAAAGGGGATAGATTACCTTTTTTTGTTTAAATCCGATTTCAGGAAACATGCACACAGGTCGATAGTGTTATTGTATCACAAAACACACAATGTGTGAAATGTATTGATATTTCCTTCCATCCATTTTTAAGAATGGACACATTGATAGGTAATTGTGACGCAGTAAATTCTTGACACATGTCAGGCTACAAGTTGGACCAGTCTTTCTGCATGAGCACAAATAGATAACCAGTCAGCAGGACAGACACTTCAATCATCAGGAATGTCAGCAGCCCCATGTCAAAGCCTCATGGTGAAATCGTCAAACTAGACGAGAAAAAGCACGAACCCTCTTTTTGTGCACTGTTATATTCCACATTAGATGAAACAAAACATTGGCCTCACGTCAGTGCTTATTTTCATTTTCAAGTATTAATGTCTTCTTGATTTGGACATTACTGTTTTTTGCTCAACCAATCCTGAGGGAAGGAAGGACATTATTTTGGAAATGTGCAATGTTTTATTATTTGATTATACTTCAATAGCCTGATCTATCACAGAGAATCGGTGCCCATACTGTATAGACCATGTTTAGCAGTTCAGCTATCAGCCATGACATGACTTAAACACATTAAAAACGGTTTCTTTGTCAATGTCTTAGAACTATTCAGTGTTTTGACCCCCTTACATACTATACTATATTATTACATGGCTTAGTTCAATACTCGATTCTGATTCGTCAATTTGGACATTTCAGAGGTTGTTAATACTTGATAACACACAGCTGCTAACAAAATGATGACTGTTGCTTAGGAGGATCAAGGGAGAGAAGGAAAGAGGTTGGAAAAAAAAACTGCGAACAAGGTTGGACAGTTACAGAGCGATCAGTTAAGTTGTTGGTACACTGTGGAACCAAGTTTTTTTTTTTTCTTAAGGGAAGCAATACTTTTTAAGTTAATAAAATAATTTGTCGAGTCTGCGGTTTATTCAGTATGTGGCCACATACTCTGCTTCGAGTCGGGCTCCATGATCACCTTGTCAGTTGTTCTTTTTTCATTGCTGAAAATAATAGTCCAAGGATTAAAATGCTGTGTTAATGTTTAATTTCATTTGATCTAATTGTATTTTATGTGTTTCTGTTTCAGGTCCAGTCTCTGTCATCAAGGCCGAAATCATGTGAAGTGCCTGGAATAAAGTAAGTCAATGGGAAGGAGCTTTTTATCTTATTCATAAATAAACCTTTATCTTTTTACTCAACTGTTTCAAGATCATCACCATCAGTGTGATGTTACAATGCCACATGGGCGGTAGATCACTGTAGCTCGTCACAAGAAACAATGGAATCATAGAGATGAGATGCCGCACATTCCCACCTCGCCAAACAGGATGTCTGTGTTCCTCTTTAGAACTCCAACCCTTTTGAAATAAGAGGAACAGAGTCATTACAATCAGATTCCAAAGGCTTTGTTTTCCCAGTGCAAACGCCCTCCGGTGTCATGGCATGATTTAGAGGTAAACAGACGTCTCCATTTTTACTAGCAATTCATTAGCTCTCCAGCAGCAGCAGCAGCAGTAGATGGTCAGGCTTTGTTTCGAGTTAATAATAAACAGAGAGCAACACAGTATAGCTACTGGGCCTCTTTATTTCATGTTGTCAGTTTTTCTGACAGAGAGGGACACTGTTTGTGTGTTTTTGGATGAAAGTGTTTGTTCATTGTTTTGTGTTGTGCCAGTTTCTGTGGGTACAAACAACAATGAGTCACTGTCGCTGCTCATATGCTGCTAATGCGGCATATGAGCACAAATGGAAGTTAGAGAAATATTGGAGTAAATGGGGAGTGGGTGGAAAAAACAAGAACAAGTGGATGGGAGTCAAAGAAACGTCTTGTCAATCTGAAATGGCATCTGCAGCACATTTAATGACCCTGCATTCAGTTATGAGCAATATATTTACATGAATTTAGTGATTTACTGATGAGTCACAAACGTTTTCTATTTGCATTCGCAGCATATTCCCGTCCCCGGAGCAGAACCCGGGTCTGTCCCAATACCAGGGTTTGTTAAACACCGGGGGCTCCCTGCCCGACCTCAGCAACCTGCACTTCGCCTCCCCTCTCTCCACCCCTCTGGACCCGGAGGACAATGGAGGGTACCCCAACCTCAGCGGGGGCAGCAGCACCGGAAACCTGCCGGCCGCCATGATGCACCTCGGCATCGGCAACTCGCAGGGTGGGTGAAGCACGTTTTTTGTGTTTGTGTGCATGCTTTACACCCTGTTGGACTTATGTAACCCTTAAACAAATAAAGCACTATCTACTTATAACTTTAAAGAGGAAAGAAAAGTATGAAAGAATGCTTTCAGAGCTGTTCGGAGTAAAAGCTCACCTGATGTTCACATTGCTCATATAAACTCCATTCTTCTCTGCTGAGGTGTTTTTCTGTCTCCTCTCTAGCCCACCATTATTTCCCCCTCTGTTTCCTTAGCAAACTGTCAATCAATAGGAGTTAGGGTTACAAGAATGTGTCATCTTGCAAGATTTGGGCGGTTGCCTAGCAACACAACTATAATGATAGTCTGTCTGTCATTCCTTGTGTTATCTGAATTTACTTGTGCCGCATTTCCACAGCTTGGTAGAGCACTTCTTGACTGGCTTGTAGACAATATTTTTTGTGGCAAAAGTTGAACATTTCCCTAATACTTTTTTGGAGTCATCTCACTTAAACGTAGGGTAGGTAATTCACTTCAGAAACACTTGTTGTTATATTCCATGGAATGCTCTTAACATCCCGATAGCAATGAATACATTAAATGCTTTGACAATAAATCCATAAACAAATGTCATCTGTGGAAGCCGTGGTGCTGTAAAAAGCACGACCAGTTATTCTAGCCGGACCGGCTAAAATAACTGGATGGCCTACCTGCCTGTCAGCCTTCCATCTCGTGCACAAACTTATCTCGTGCACGTTAGTGTGTGTTGGAGGAGGGGCTCTGTAAGAAAGTCTGAAGGAGGGGGCATACTTTTTTTCGGCAGCATACTTTCAAATTCTAGCGCACTCGAGCTGGTTTCTCCATTCTTACCTACCCTACCTTTTAAGGTTCTAAGCGGGCTAGGCTTGTCGCAGTACTCTGTATTGCAGTACTCACATACACTGATTACTTAACTTCCGCCCCCACCTTTGTTTTTGCATTTTGTCTTTCATTTTTACATCTGCGCAGTAGAGCATGAGCAGCAGAGTCACATAAATCCACCATTTATAAAAAGACACGCTTCCATCATTAGTAGCTGCAATTTTTTACTCATGTCCTGGCCAGCTAAACCACACCATAGTCAACTGACCAACTATAGACAAGGGTCTGGCTGGTTTAAAAAAAGGGACAATCCAGCATCAAATCAAGCCAAACACTGGACCAGACGGGACCAGATCAGACTTGACTTGGCAGCTACCGTCAGATTAAATACTGTGACGCCGTTGTTAGCGCTATGCCACCAGAGGCCGGCCATGGTTGGTTTTTAATTGGCCAGAATGGTCATATTGACAAATGCTGTTTCAATTGGTATGACTACAATTCATTCTGTTTAAGCTAGTACTGGACCGGACCGGCACCAACAGAAATCGATCAGAGTTGGTCTCTAGAGTTGGATTGAGTCTAGAGACATTCCTCAGTTTGGTTTCCGTCGAAAAGATCCATATGCTGTGTCGTGTTAAAGAAGATGTCAGAGCAGTTTCACGCAGCATTGCTGTGAATATCAGTTGAAAATACCACCTACATTGAGGGGGAGGACCTGCAGTAGAAAACAAAATCAAGAAACCTGGTACCAAAAGCGAGTCAAGCTGGTAAAATGCAGTGGAAATTAGTCGTTGAACATACGCCCCCTACTGACTGTTGAGATTGCAAACTCTGGGCCTGTCAGTGAGTCAGTATCCTTGGGGATTCTTTTCTTTGTAGGTTCAATGTTGTGAAAGTCTGCTTCAGCTTTACACTCAAAGTTGTGAATCACTGCTGCAGAGCTTTGAGCAGGTTCCAGGTTTCCTCCTCTGCCAGCCCAGCAGACATTATGGACAGCTCATTGAATGATGCCTCTGTCTCCTCACTGTGAACTCTGCTGCCTGATCCGATCACACCCACCGCTGCTCCCTCTCAGTCTTTCCTCTCTGTGTTCTGTGAGTGGATGTGTGGTCGGGCTCCACAGTTCAGCTTGGCGGAGCCCCAAAGAACCACAAGAACTCTGACCCTGTTCCGGCTCGCTACAATCAGCTCTTTTCTTTCCCCTCAGATCCCCTCTGTCTTCTCATTTTCCTCCCCTCTGCTCTCCACCGTTTCTCTCCCTCCCCAGACACACAATAAAGTGTATTGTTTTGGGTGGCAGGCCTGGAGAGTATTCTGGAAAATAGACTTCACGCCACATCATAACTTCCACATGTTCTTCCTGGTTTCCGAGGGCCCATATCTGCTCCAGATTCACAGCTGCCTCATTAGATTCATCCTAATATGCATCTACTCTCTGATGCTGTGTCTCAATCTGCGTACATCTGTACTCGCATCTGCTGTTTTGAGTTCCAAACGTGAATACCATTACAAAGTATGGCTAAATGCAGTGCACTATAAGAGGTGCACTCAAAACAGTCTAAAAGACAAGTTTGGAATACAGTGGTGCAATGATGACGTATTTGTACAGGTCGACCCGACCCGTTCCAAGTCCCTCAACAAAAAAAAGGAGATTCTTCCAATGGATTTCAGTATATTGCAGAAAATAACACATGTTTATGATACTGACACATATTATCTAACGTTAGGCTTTAAAAGAACAGCATCACGGTCACGTCGCTGCACATCACCACCGCTAAGCTAAAGGCGGCTAATGTTTACCTGATGGCGTTTAGCAGTCTCCTTTTGGGATTCACAAGTGGGTATTTAAAAATATCTTAAGCTCGTCTTAACCACAGACGTTATTTCATGCATCTAACCAAAAACACATTAAACAAAAGTTGCTTTTAGGCCAGGGAACATGAAGTGTTAAAAAGGTAACTCATTTCCTAATGTTTAGACTCATTTCTGCACCACTCTAACTGGGCAACCTAAACGATCGTCATTGTGTCTGCGTAATGGAAATAAAGCCACCAGTCAGGTTGCACTCCTGTAAATGCAGCACTATACAAATAAAAGCGATACATCTAGGTTTATTTTACAATTCAAGCAACACTACACTGGCGTCACAAAGAAACCAGAATTCATTATATCAGGTAATCGAGGAGTTAAATGATTAGCTACCAAGAACGATGATGTTACTAGATAGCTAGCAATTATTGACAGAGAGACACAGCAGCCGTGTGCAATTTGAGACAACAGTAACAGTCAGGATTCACACCATGCGTAAGTGTTCTCAGTGCAAGACATGCAGTGTACTAAGGGAGGTACCCACATTTAGACACAGCACAATACTTTCTTTGTCTGATGGATGTGCCCCTGCCTCTCCTCCCCCTGCAGGTCTCTCCTCCTCTCTGAGCAATCCCTCGATCCAGGCGTCCCTCAGCAACTGCCAGCTGCAGTCGTCGCTCAGCAATCCCTCCATCAATTCGTCCTTGCGCATGTCCAGCAACTCCCCCCGGCGACGGACAGCACCCATCAGCCCTCTGACATTGTCTCCAGGGACCGAGCAGCGAAGGGGTCTGGCCAAGCAGCTGTCTCCCACCATGTCCCCCTCGCTGTCCCCCATCACACAGGTGACACACATACCTTCACATTACCTTAATAACAAGAGGGTATATCTATATTGTAAGGCACAGAATTTGAAATATACATTTACAAAGCTATAAAACTGAATAGAATGAGAAAATGTATAGGTTTTGATGCTGATTTTTGAGAAAAATTCAGAAGGGATTTTGTGTTGAAACTATGTTGATTCACAGTATAGGGCTCTGACTGTCCTCATGGCCTAATGTCATCATTACTAAAACTCTTTGTATAACATGTAGTCGGACGTTAAAGTAAAAGTTCCTGGTGCCATGGTTTCCCCCTGATTTGATGGGTTGAGTGTTGTTGAGTAATGACACTACAATCAGAATAAATAAACTTCAACTCTTTAGTGAAGTTTCAGTTAGTCTTCACTGACTCCTGCTGGAATGATCTGTCCTGTGTAGGGAGTTCCTCTGGATACCAGCAACATGCCAAGGGAGCCGCCCCCACCCTATCCGCTTTACCAGCAATCCCAGCATGCAGTGGACCAGGGCCGACAATGCCACCAGCAACAACAACAACAACAACAACAGCAGCAGCAGCAGCAACAACAACAACATCAACAACAACAACAGCAGCAGCAGCAACAACAACAACAGCAGCAACATCAACAACAACAACAACAACAACAGCAGCAGCAGCAGCAACAGCCTCTTTCCTCTCTTCAGAACATCCCTCTGGACTTCAACACGAGCCAAGTAAGTGCTTTGAAGAGTGTCAGGGTGTGTGTGAGTTTGCTGTCCATGCATGCGCACACACACACACACACCCTGAAAAAGATAATATTCTGCACAGCAGTATATCATTCTCTGAGTTCGGAGTTCGGCTTACGTTTGACTATCGTCTTTTCTGACAGCTCAACAACATGTCAGCCTTCTTCAACGACCCCTTCATGGAGCAGCAGTTCAATCGCCAGACCAAGTCCAACCCTTATCAGGTACAGGTTAACACACACACACACACGCACGCACACACACACCACTTACTTTACTAGCCAACAGCACACTGAAGCACCCTGTCTTTTTCAGACAGAGGGTGAAAAGAGGTGCAGCAGCACTGGCAGTATGAGAAAAATAACTGTATTTTTGAACATTAAAGCATGTAGACACAGGAGAGATACAAAATACAATGATGCCACCAGAACATTACCATAAAAGGGCCCCTTTGAAGCAAAAACGACTTTTAATACACAAAGAAGTTGAAACAATATACGTTTTGTTAAACAGACGCTTTTCAGAATAAAAGACTCTTTAGAATGGATTTCATGATATTTAGCCCACACGATATCTAATAATCACATTTAATAAGATAATTGAGAACTGAATGTGTCACTGCCTTCAGTTCTAATATGAATCTGTTGTCTATGCACTGTGGAAACAGATTGCCTGCCAATGTGAACTCGGCTCGCTGATTCTCTGCACTTTCTCTCGTTTGCCATTTTCTCTCTGCCATCTGCCGTCTAGTTCGACCAGTTCTCTCTGTTGGAGAGCGCGATGAGCTCCACGGCGGGGGGGTCTTGCTTTGACCCCTCCTCCTCCCTGCTCTACTACTCCCAGGCTGCCCTCTCTGGGCTGGGGGGCAGCCACGGCAGCCTGCAGGACCCCATGCACATGAGGTCCAACATGTTGTACTCTAACTGCAGCGGAGGCCTGCCCAACATCATCCTCACTGGTAAGACCTAGCGGGGGGGGGGGGGTCCTTTTCTGTGTGTCCCTCATAGGCCACTAAAGGTGCATCCTGGGAGCGAAAGAGGATTGTTTTTGTTTGTTTATAACGGAAAGAAATTGAGTATATCGTGTGAAGGAGGGAAAACACAAAAACACAATTTGACGAAACATTTTTAACGGGGGGTTAGATGATTGTTCTGGGCAGAAATCCAATGTTTACCATGTTATTGCTTTAAAATTGGGTTTGCCATTGTATGCAGGCAGGTTAGGTAAGTTAGGTAGGTAAGTACAGATTATTATTTCTTGTTTACGAAAACAGATGTTGATGATTGCTAGTACTGATCCGTTTAATGAAACAAAACAACGAGCGAGGACATTTTCATATTCATCTGAGGATTATGAACAGCGAAGATGGTCTCTGGTTACAAATAAAAAGAGTAGCTGTAGACAGTTTGCAATGAATTGTCTCCAGACAGATGAGCATTTTTAATAATGTTATTACTCTTTTTTCCAGCATGAAAGTGTCACGAGACGCAAGTATAAGTGTCATGTTGTTTGTTTCTTGAGACTGATTCCTCTCTTTAGAGATGTATCATTGTTTGATTGATTGCATCTAGTTAAAACCTGTGATAAATATATATTTTATGATTTTTGTCTTAGTTATTAAGTTTATGAAGTTGTTTGTTTTGTCCTCGTTGTGTTTTATGACATTGTGTCTTTTAGTGTTCTCCATAGTTTTGAATGTTTACTTGGGTCCCCTTCAAAAACTCAGAACAGCGTTTCAGTTAGAAAAAAATGGTGCTTGTCAACATGACCGGTGAGATGAACTGGGATGGGACATTTCCGGTTAAATAGTATCTGTGTTTATTATTCAGCTTAAAAACAAAGGCTTTAGAAAGAATGACATCATCAAGGCGTGTTTATTTATATTTCATTGAAATCATCATTGAGAAATGTTCGCCTGCATAATCACGTAGCGCTGTCTGTAGTGCTATTTCTGCCGAAGCGCATCTATAACATGCAGGTTGTGGATCGTGTGAAGTTTATGCAACAGCTGTCAATTAACACTCCAGCCAGAATCGGCACAACCGTCAGTAAACGACAGGTTTCAGATCTTTCCTGTTAAAGTCCGGTAAATACCGGCTAGCAGAAGCACCGACTCAGCTGTATATGCTTGCTTATATAATACTTAAATATATAGAGGTCGACATTTGTAATAGGAGGAAAATGAACCTTCATACCTCATTAAGGCTGCGTGACTGATGTTTGGGTCTAGCCTTGGCTGAACAGACAGTGATACTCTGTTAAAAATGCAACAGTCTGAAAGGGAGAAGAGTGTTAGCTGTATTTATTTTTAAAAGAGCTGTCATGTCTAATGATGAGGACAGTGTGACCGTGTGACCCACCGTCGTCTGCTTCTCTCTCTCAGATGACTCCAGCCTGTCGAAGGACATCAGCAGCGCGCTCTCCACGGTGCCTGAGTGTTTCGACTCGGAGGGCTGCTTCCCGCTGGAGGACGAGCTGCACATCGAGCCCCTCGGCCTGGACGGACTGAGCATGCTCAGCGACCCCGACATGGTGCTGCCGGACCCCTCCGTGGAGGATACTTTCCGCAGCGACAGACTCTGAACACACACACACACGTGGATTTGCAGTGTAAAGAGTGTACAAATCTGACATGTGCATGCCAACAATCTCTATATGCATAGTGCATGCATCCACTGAGATTCATCAAATGTGAAGTATACACACACCTTTTAAGGAGGAGACTTTTGAACAAACACTGTTTACTCCTGCTTGGTGCAGAGTCCCCCTCACACATCTCTAAGACGGTGTTTTGAATGAGATGCGTCGATGCAGTAGTTGGGATTCAAATCAGCGCCAGGAGCAGAAACAGGTCCAGTTCTGCACTTCAAAAGAAGCACGTGAAACAATCCCCGCTTCTCCTGCTCTCTCATCGCCAGCTCACAGCCCCCCTGAAGCCATGGCAACCACATCACCATGGTTACGCAGCATAGCAACCCCATCGCCACACCGAAGAGCAGCAGGAATGCCGACACATGCTTTTCCTTTCCTCACGGCTCCTGTAAACGAGGAGTGAGCCGTTCACAGCTGGAGTAAAGAAACTACTTCAGGCTCCTGAACAATCATGGTAAAAATGAAGACTAAAAAGATTCTTGTTTATAAATGTATTTCTTTGCATATGTTACCAGATTATTTTTCAAATGTTTGCCACAGATCTATACATTTGAATATACATACATATAAATATATATATATATCAATTGCAGTCTGATTAGAATGTATTTCAAACTCGAAGCAAAAAGGGCAAACTGTTTACAAAAGATGAGATTGAATAAGTCAATATTACTTAGAGATTTTCTAATTAATAAAGAGATACAATTCTACGACGAATAAATGCTATATTTTCCTTACAATTTGGTTGGATACTCCCCCCCCCTCCCCTCCCCCTACCCCCCCCGGCTGTGGTTTCCTCAAGCAGATCTTTGGCAGCACTGGGACAGCGTCAAATTCAACTTTGAAAATATTTTTTTTAAACTTTGTTTCCCTCTTGTTATAAATACTTCTATGTACATTCATTGCATAAGTTTTATTTTACATTTTTTACTGACTCGTTATGGCGCTTTCACTGTACTTTAAATAGTGTCGTGAATAAGGGCTGCGTTACTGTGGATCCATGATGCCCACAAATAGCTGTTTGCATCCGGCTTCCTGTCCCGTGTTGTTGCAGTGAACCCCCCCACCCCCCATCTGAACAGTTACTCAGAAAGTCATCATGTGGACATCGGACATCATGTAACATTGCACTTAACCTCTTTTGCACTAATTGGTTCACAGTGTGTAGACTCAACTGATATTGTAAAAACTGGTAGGATCCTCTTTTTTTGTTTGTTTGTTTTTACCTAATAACCCAAAGAAGTTGAATGAAGCCATTATTGAGAAAAGTGACACCTTATGTGACTAATATATATATATATATATATATATATGTAAAGTCACTGCACATGAAAGCACCAGCAAGGGGTGTTTGGTTTTCGATATGTGAGAAAGTATACATTTTATTTCCTTGGCTTTGATCTATAGTGATGTGTGTTTGTACAGAGCTCATATTTACATTTGATTATGTAATAACCCGGCCTTCAGGGCATTGAGTGCCCCCTGGTGCCTGTTTAAATGACATCAAAACGCTTTCTTTTATGTGTCTGAAAAAGATTCGGAGCAAAAAATGCCCTCCTTTTTTTTTGGCTCCTCTTAGCTATGCAACCTTTTTCAGTTCAGTGCAACCTGTTGAACAGGTGCGCCTTGTGCATTATGCAGTGTTCACAATGTGGGGGATCAAATTAGCCAGAAATCACAATATTACATGTGTCCAGTGTCCACAGTGTGTGTCGACTCTCGATCGATAAGAAGAGCGCCTGCTGGCATCGAACGGATCAACAGTCGGAGAACAAGGATGTCGTGGAGGAGGATTTTAAAACTTGTGCATCATTTTGGACAAATGGTGCATGGCACTGTTTGTGTTCCGAAGGCGTCGCACTGAGTGGACTGTGGGCTCTCCCAGTGTATGAAAGAGATTCAGGGGTGTTGGGGTTGATTTCTAAGAGTTTATATATTCAGCTATTATACATTTTGACCTGCTCTCTTGTTAGTTCTTAAGACAGTGGGATGGAGCCACTTTGCTGTTAATTGTGTCTAAAGTGTTTTCTTTTCCTCCCTCTTTCCCCTGCTGTCTGAACGCCTGCCTTCTGCTGCCTTAACATGTTGTATTTTGACTTGACATATTCCAGCAGTAACCTGTATCTGCTAGTTATCCCCTCCCTTTAGCTTTAGCTCTGTTTGGTACTAACTGCGCTTTGTCCTTTTCTGTCTCTTAGTCTCACTGTTTTGTTTTTTAGTGTATTCCTTTTTTTAGCAAAATGTACAGTTCTGTTATTTAAATAATTTTTTGTCCACTAGTGTTACTACTTTTTATTTGTAATGTCATTTGTTTTTCCCCGAGATATAAAATGTTGTTGGTTTGTAATGTATGTTATAGTGCTTATCTTTCTGATTTAATATAAACAATAAAACTCTATACTATATATTAAAGGTGCTGTTGATGTTCCTGCCAGCAGATGGCAGCAGTGTGGTGTAATCGAGATGAAGGTAGACATCCCACAAACAACATCCCTGTGTTTAGTTGGAACAAATACAAGTGCACCTTCTTTAGATCTTCCTGTATAGTCTGACAAATTATTATATTTCTAAACAAAACACACTTTTCATTATTTTAATTGTGTTTGGATTCTGAGAACAGCTCTGCAAGGTGTTACTGTTTGTTTGGTTTCACAGGCAAACTGACTATCAGTTTAGAAACAGTGTGACTTTCCATCTAATTAAGGTGCAAAACGTGAAATAATCTTTCTCTCATGTCTTCTATCATTTGTCAATCGTCTATCTCACCAATCTTTAAAAATGTTGGCTTTTACGAAACATCTGAAAGTTTAGTTTGTTTTGTCTTTCTCTTAAATGAAGCATAATTGACCCCGATCCTGTTTAAAGAAGACAAGTGTACCCTTTCTTGGTATTCCAGCTGCGTCTACCTCATGAAAGGCCACTACAAACACCTTTTAGGGGAAATTGATGGCAGTAATACTTGTTTATTTGCCAAGATCCAAATTGGAGTCAGATGGTAACAATTTGATGGTTTGTTTTCACCACCAGATCACATCTTCTGTCATTTTCCTGAAATGTCTAAACTGCAATCGGGGACATTAAGAGAAAGACTAATGGTAGCCTGACTGATGAAAAGGCTTTTGCTAGTTTAACTTGTTTAACTTTATCCTAATTCAAGAAAATCGTTTTACACCGACAATATGCATTTTGTCCCCTGCCCTTCAGTTGAAATTGTTTAAAGGGGCCCTATTATGCTCATTTTCAGGTTCATATTTGTACTGTGTGCCTCTACTGTGACATGTTTACAAGCTTTAATGTTCAAAAAGATCTTTATTTTTCTCATAACATGTGTTTGAGCGCTAGCCAATAGAAGTGTGAGTGTTACATAGTGATGTCACTATGTTACAGAAGTAAACCAAAAAGAGTGGCCTCTCAGGCAGGGGGGTGAGTGTGTGGGAGAGAAACTCCCTCTGGAGGTCTCTGGGATTTTAGCCTCTGCAGACCATTTACATGCACACAAACCTATATAACACAATAGGGCCTATTAATGAAAGGATCTCTTTATGACCACTACACAAGAACAGTAACAGGCCCCAAAATGTCTTCTATTATCAATACATGTATACAATACATGTTATTTACTTTACGAGAGAAAAATGCTTATGTTTGCTTTCAACTGTCAAACTACTGGTTCCCAGTTAGGATTTATAAACCTGACATTTGGTGACGAGTAGGTGGTAACTGCAGTCTCTGAGTTCACGCAGCAACTGTATATACCGAGGAGTGTGTGAGGACAGTATATTGTGGCAGATGGACAGTGTGAGCTCCTGGACATCAGCCAAACTTCACACACAAACACAGTGAGGGAGCTGAACACATAATCACAGTCATCAGTCAGAGAGCTGGAGTCGGTCCAGAGTGAGTCTAGGCAGGTCAGGATGCCAGCTTCAAATTCTGTGTGTGTGTACGTGTGTGTATGTGTGTGTGTGTGTGTACATGTGTGGACTGTCCAGCTGGTGGGAACCTGAATAGTAACTAAGCTGTTGGCAGAAAGTAATTAATGAGGCCTGTTAAGCTATTGGCAAGCTAGCTGTGTAGCAGTCAACTGCTTTTATTATATTTAACTTTGTTTCTGTCATTAACAAGCAGCAACCTGAATTCATGTGAAGGTGCCTACAACGTGCATTCTTTCTGATGGCAACAGAGGGCTACTGGTGCAAATATAATAATAATAATAATATATTTGATTTATAAGCGCACTTTTCATTTGCGTAAACAAAACTCAAAGTGCTAGTGCAAATATAAAGTCTGATTGTCTAGAAGTCTATGTGAAAATTACTAACTTCTTACCCCAGTAAGCAATGAGTTATACCTCAGTGAACATTTTGTAAATTAGTTTATGGGCTTAATCACTGTTCTGACTCTTGGTCAATAGAGAATGATATTCATTTTGTAAATTATTGTGCTTTTTAGAGGTAAATATACTCTAAAGCAGGTTACGTTGTGACCGACAATTTGACTTTGGTGCTCTCCTTGTTCACTTTTTAAAACTTAAACCCTTAGTGGGTTTTTATTCCATTAAAGTTAAAAGTAACATTTTGGTCAATCATGTTTTTTTAAGCATTTGTTTAATGGCAATTTACATGACCCAATGTCCTCTTTGCTGTTATCATCAGTACAAAACAAAATGGTAAAAGTGATCTTACGCAGACAAGATCCCACAATGGCTCCTACAATGTGGTTGTGTTTAGCTCCACCCTCTCGAGTCCCCTCTGGTTTAAAAGCCAAGATGGCGACGGTCAGAATGTCAAACTAATGTTATACAGTTCATGATCCGTAAGAAATTCGGTAATAAAGGATGTAATCAGTTCTAAATTGAGTGACAGGTACTTGAGTACACAGATGAATACTAAATTTAGATAACTTTTTTGGAGCTTTCCATTATATCTTTAATTGTATATCAGTGGACAGGGTTGGCAGGCAAAACTCCTTAAATGACTCATGTTCTTAATGATTTTTGTAAGTTACCCTGCTGAAAAAAACACTGCTTCCATGTAGTATGTAAACAACGCACAAATGACTACCTGTAATGTGACAGAAGTCGGCTGTGGTGAAGAACTCTGGGAACTACCACCTGACTCTAGTATTCCTCAGATGTCTTTCAACTCATGAATTTACGGCCTGCAACTTTACTGTCTCTTACTGCTCACATTAACCTCCACTTCAACAGCTGTTTTTAGGGAAAACAAACCGTGATGAACCCTGTTCATGGTGCCTGCTCAGCAACAAGCAACAGAACACATACACAATAAGAACGCCTGGTGGAGAACATGGACCATTTCACAGCTCAAGTCACATTTTAACGTAAACATGACTCCAAATGACTGCACATGTTGCCTCTGTAGGGATGAAATACTTTGTTCTTAAAATACTCCACTATGAGTAACATTTCAAAATGTTACTTAATGGGGCCCTATTATGCTCATTTTCAGGTTCATATGTGTATGTTGTGCCTCTACTGTGACATGTTCACATACTTTAAAGCAGGGGTGGGGAACCTTTTTCCTCTCAAGGGCCATTTCAATGTTTTCAACATCCTCCGAGGGCCGTACAAATTATTGACCTCTGCTTAAAAAAACTAAAATCACAGCCCATTCATTTCGCCTTTCTTTCATGCTGTGCAAAGAAAAAGCAACCTCTTAATCCAGATATCTCACCACGACTCGCGTATGCATGCACGTGCACAGTTGTGGCATGACCACCCAAACAGAAAGATATGGACATAAGATGTGTGCAAATGTATTTAGTTTCCTATCCATGTGGACATGATTTAAGTGGGGGGGGGACCTAACCTCAACTTCAACGCACATGTGGGGAATGATGGAGACACTTGGAGGGGCGTGATTGGGAGGAACGGCCCCCCTGATCTGAACCGGAGTGGTGGTTTGTTACTGGACTTCTGTGCTAGTCATGGATTGGCCATAACAAACACCATGTTCGAACATAAGGATGCTCATAAGTGTACGTGGTACCAGAGCACCCTAGGCAGAAGGTCCATGATCGATTTCGTTATCGTATCATCGGACCTGAGGCCGTATGTTTTGGACACTCGGGTAAAGAGAGGGGCGGAGTTGTCAACTGATCACCATCTGGTGGTGAGTTGGGTCGAGTGGCGGGGGAAGCCTCTGGATAGACCTGGTAAGCCCAAACGTGTAGTTCGGGTGAACTGGGAAACTGTCCGACACCTCAGGAGGGGGAAGCAGGGAACCATCCAAGCTGTGTACAGTAAGGATGGGACGTTGTTGACCTCAACTGATGGAGTGTTAGGGCGTTGGAAGGAACACTTTGAGGAACTCCTGAACCCGACAACTCCGCCCTCTATGTTAGAGGCAGAGCTGGAGTATGACGGGGGATCAACACCAATCTCCCGGGGGGAGGTCACTGAGGTCGTCAAACAACTCCACAGTGGCAAAGCCCCGGGGGTGGATGAGATCCGCCCGGAAATGCTGAAGGCTCTGGGTGTTGAGGGACTGTCATGGTTGACACGTCTCATCAACGTTGCGTGGAAGTCGGAAACAGTACCGAAGGAGTGGCAGACCGGGGTGGTGGTTCCCCCCATCACACTACTCAGCCTCCCCGGGAAAGTTTACTCTAAGGCAGGGGTGGCAAACTCATTTCAGTTAAGGGGCCACATACTGCCCACTTTGATCTAAAGTGGGCCGGACCAGTAAAATCATAGCATAATAACCCACAGGCCCTATAACGACAATATTTCTGTTTAAGTGCAAATAAGTAGGCTACAAGTACATTCGGAAAATGTCCACATGTAATGAGACGCAAAACGTTATGAACAAACTGACATTTATTAAGAAAAAACAAGTGCAATTTCAAGTGCTACACATATGTTCTTTACAACAGATCACAGTTTCCACCTGAACTGACTCACCACAAAATACAAATAAAAACGTGGGAGCTATTAAGTGAGGAGTTTGAGTTACCCCCCTTGCCTTGAAGATATAACATTTCTATATTTTAAAAAGAAGTTGGGCAGTGCCACATCAAATCAAACTATTGATTGCCTAATGCAGCTGCTGATTGACATTATAATACACAATGTTCTATGACATAATAATATAACATGTTCAAATATTTCAGTAGGTTCTTATTTTCACGTCACTGATTAATTTGCTCCTGAAACTTGACATCTTTTAGCCCTCACAATGGCATCAATATCAGGCTTAAAATCCTGACTAGCAGCCAATTTAATGAGTTCATTCAGGCACTTGTGTGTGAGTCTTGAGCGCAGCTTTGTTTTAGTAATGTTCATTACAGAGAAAACCTGTTCACAAAGGTAGGTGGTCCCAAACATGCTCAAAACTTTTGCTGCCAGGGCTGTCAATTTGGGGTATCCTGGCAAAAGATACCG